ATGCCGAGGCGCCAGACGTACACGGTCTGCAGCGGCTGCAGCAACTGGGTGTATGATTGGAAGCTGCAGCGCACGGGAGGCTGGTGCAACAAGTGCAACGACTACCTCAGCGGATGGAGTGAGCAGCCGCCGTCTGCGGGCCGCAGCCAGCGAGGGGATGGCAAACCCCCGTGGGCAAAGCAGCCAGTCACTTCGCCCGCGGACGAGCTGCAACACATCATCAACAAGTTCCAGCTGGGGAAGGGCGCCTACGCCACAGCCAAGGCCATGGTCGACCTTGGCCCGCTGCAGGCGCTCCAGGCCCAGCTCACAGCCAAGGCGCCGACGCCAGCGGAGATCCCGAAGGCAAAGGCGCTCAGGCAGGCGATCGGCAACTTGGACCAGAAGAAGGCGGCGCTGGCGAAGGCGACGAGCCAACTCGCGGAGGCGGAGCGCAGTCTCGGCGTCGCCACGGAGAGGCACAACAAGGCGCTGGAGGAGGCAGCTGACGCGGAGGAGGAGCACGAGGCAGTCCTGCGGGCGTACTCCAGCGAGGCCATCCCCTCACAGGACGAGGCTTCGGCTACGGAGTGGAAGGCGCCCGAGGTGGATCCCACGCTCTTCGACAACCTGGACGACTTCGAGCCAGAGGATAAGAAGAAGCTACTCAAGTTCAAGTCGGATCTGTCGTCCCTCGCGAAGCTGCTGGAGAGCGCCCAGAAGCAGTACACGGAGTTCACGGAGCTTAAGAAGCAGGCGGACGCCATCCACGCTTCCCACAAGGCGAAGAAGCGGAAGGCGAACACAGGCGAAGAGGCACCAGCAGCTGCACCTCCACCAGCAACTGACGACGACTCCAAGGCAACCGCTGGCTCTGAGGCGGACAAGCAGCCGTCAGAGGAGGAGGTGCAGCAGCGCAAGGACAGACTGGAGAGGCTCCGTAACGACGCGAAGGTCAAGACGAATCCGAAGCAGGAGCCTGCTCAAGCTGAAGGCGCTGCTGCTGCTGGTGGCCATCGCCTTTAGCAAGGTGTTCTTCTCGAACATCACGCAATGGGGCCCCAAGGCCCACAAGTTCATCAACGAGCAGGGCAACGACATGGACATAATCATGATGTGCGAGACGCACTTGGCGCAGGATCAGATGAAGCAGGTGAAGGTGGACGTGGCGAAGGACGGCTGGAAGTCGGCGGGCACAGCGGCGGTGCCCACGAAGCGCTCGGCGAACGGGACCTCGGGAGGTGAGCTCATCCTGGTCAAGTCTCACATCGCCTGCTCCACCTACGACACCATCAGAGAGAGGCTGCAGAATGACGGGAAGAAGGACCCCTTCTACGGCTTCACGGCGGTGAATCTCCACACCAAGGCGGGCAACGTGGTCTTGGTCACAGCATATTGGTTACCAGGAGCTGGTCTGCACGGACCCAACCGAGAGAGGGTCAGAGCGCTGGCAGGATTCGTGAAGGCGCTGGCGGACCCGTGGGTGGTCTTGGCGGACTGGAACGTCACCTTCGCGGACATTGGCCAAGACGGGCTACGTGCAGCAGATCGGCGGAGCGCTGGTCAAGCCAGACGTGGAGGTCACCTGCGACAAGGGGAAGGGCAGCCTGATCGACTACGGCATCGCAAGGAAGGACTTCGCGCACAAGGTCAAGCTGGAGGCAGTCCGCACGGTGCCTTGGCGAACACACTGTGGACTGACGCTCACGCTGGAAGGCTCGGCGACGGCCTGGTGGCACCGCAAGATGCAGATACCGAAGGAGCTGGCGACACCGCCGCGACCGAGGAAGTTGGCGGATCCGAACAGCAAAAGGACCCGCAAACGACAGGAAGAACGGCAACGAGCAGAGGAGCGACTGGAGCCACACCTTCGGGAAGCCTTCCAGGAGCAGGCCATGATCGAAGAAGCGGAGTCAGAGAAGAAGGTTAAGGACTTCTACATCACAGATGGGACTTGGACGGCGGCGGTGGCGATGGCGAGCTTATCAGGTTCGAGCTCGACACCCTCGGCGTCCCAGATAATTCTTTTCGGGGGCAGCCAGGGCCGCGCCCCACCTCCAGCCTCCAGCGCGTGGCCGCTCCTTGCGAGCGTTGAGCCGCCTGAGGCTGTCGGCCCTCCAAGCATGGAGGATAATGGGGTGCTGGCGTTCCCTGCTGCTTGGCCCGCCGCATCTCAGAGGACCTCATGCTGGCACCTGTCTAAGGAGCTCCAGTCATGGGACGACAAGCTCATCATCCGAGACGTCAGGCACCGCGAGGCAGAGGCAGCAGCGACGAGGATGTACGGCGACTGGGTCACCTGTCTGGAGGAGGCGGCGATCCTCACGGATGAGATCGACGAGGAGGAGGCCGAGCACTACAGAGGACGGGCTTCGGGCTTCGAGGTCAAGTGGGTCAAGGCGCGTTCGACACCAGGTCGCACCCACATGAAGTTCGGTCCAGCGGAGCAGTGGGGCATCCTCAACGCCATCCTCATCAGGTACCAGGCGCTGTACACCAACGGCACCGACGGCAGGCAGCAGGCAAAGTGCTTGGTGGAGGCAAAGGCGCAGGGCAAGGTCCTCCAGCAGATGGATCAGAGCCAGGTCTTTGGCAGGAAGCACGGCACTGCACAGCAGCAGATGTTCTACGATATACTGGACGACCTGGCGGACTTGGATGAGGGGCAGCTCGGCAACTTAGTCATGCAGGCAGAGGGCCACCTCGCCACTGCGCAGGCGCGTGGCTTCACGGCGCAGCAGAAGAACTTCACGGCGTGGGCAAAGAAGGCATGGGCAGGCAAGGTCGGCCTCCTCCATCGGCACGTGAAGGAGCAGCAGGCGCCGAGGTTCGAGCTGTGCACGGAGGAGATGGAGGGCATCGCGGACCCAGACGCCCTCATTGGCATCAGGAAGCACGAGTGGGAGCGCATATGGACGGACCCAGTGGACACGAAGGAGGACATCGCGTACCAGCTGGGCAGGCTGCGCGATCAGTCCTGGGAGCACGTGCTGGAGCCCCTCACGCTGGAGCAGCTCGACGGGGCCATCGGCGCGTCGTCGTCGGCCAAAGCAAAAGGAGTTGATCATCTTGGCCCGCACGATCTGGCTCGGGCTCCCAGAAAAGCAAGAATATGGTTACTTCACATCTTACAGTATTGCGAGCAGGAGGTCACATGGCCGAGGCAATGGGTAGCCACCAAGTGCGCTCTGGCGGCCAAGCCCAAAGGAGGAGATCGGGTACTCGGTATGCTGGCCCTCCCCATCAAGCTCTGGTCTAGGGCTCGGGGAGGGTGTTGCACAGAATGGAGTGACGCGTTATCGGCCCATTGGGACACAGCCCTCAAAGGCAGCTCAGCCCTCCGTGCGGGGCTCCTCAGGGCGTGCCTGGACGAAGTGGGGGCAGAGCTCGGAGCATCGGCGATGACGCTTCTGTTGGACATTGAGAAGTTCTACGACACAGTCTCGCTCGTCATCCTGTCCCAGATCGCCCTCAGAGTGGGATTCCCCGCAGTGGTGGTGGCGTTAGAGATCACAGCGTTCGTGGGCCCGAGGTACCTGCAGGAGCGCAACATTCTCAGCGAAGCGATCTGGTCCACGAGGTCTCTGGTAGCAGGCTCTGCCAGAGGCGTGGGGTTGGCGAAGCTGTTCTTGCACCCGATATTAGACAGGGCGCATCGGAGGTCGCCACAAGCTTCGCTGTGGACATTCGTGGACGACACGGTGGCGAGACAAGAAGGTAGCAGGCAAACAGTCGGCGATGGCATCATCCAGGTCACGGAGATCATCACGGACGGCCTCAAGGAGCAGAGGATGAAGATCTCCAGCAAGTCGGTCCTGATAGGCACCCACCCGAAGGACGTGAAGCGGACGGCTAAGTCCATGAGGAAGAGGCAGATCCCCGTCTACGCAGTCACGGAGGCACTGGACCTAGGCCTGGATTCGTCGGCTGGGAGGAAAAGGGTTACGACGAAAGCGAAGCAGCGCGCCAAGAGAGCGAAGCACAGGTTCGCCAAGATCGTGAGGCTGCGACGCACCGCGGCCTTGGCCAAAGAGAGTAAAGGATTATGGACGGCAGGAGCAGTACCACAGGCAGTGTACGGCCACCAAGCTTTCGGGTTCGCAGTCCATGAGCTCCAACGCCTACGACGACAAGCTGGACAGGTGGCAGGAGGTAAGGCGCGTGGCCGATGCTTGACGACGACACTGGCGGTCGAGTTGTGGAAGGGCGATCCAGGGGTGGCAATACGAGTTGCCGTGGTCAAGGAGTGGATCAACCTGTGGCAGCGCTACCCAGAGAACCACGCCAGGATCGTCAAGGCATGGCCGCGGATATTCGACCGTCTGTCAAAGCTTGGGGCAAAACGCTGGAGAGGAGTTCGCGGACCAGTCGGAGCGGTGCAGGCGACCATCATGGACGTGGGCTGGTATGCACCAACGGCGACGGTGTGGATGCGACCAGTCGGAGCAGATGAGGATCCAGCAGAACAGTGGGACATCCCGTCCGCCACGGACGGCACGTTCGACAACACGGGGTGCTTCCAGCAGCTGATAGACGACTTCGAGGACGACATCGTAGCTCAATACTGGAAGGCTGCAGCAGCACACCCACATGGTGAAGGTCTGGAGGATGGAGCGGATGTCTGGCAGATCCGCGCAGAGCAGCGAAGGTTCGAGAAGCAGGGGCAGCTGGACATGGTCGGGGCCAACATCGCCGTGGTCGCGGGAGGACAGTGGCCGAAGCAGCGATCCGTCGACCAAGGATACCTCCTGGACTGCAAGAAGTGCGATAGGTGCAAGGAGGAGGACGAGACCTTGATGCATCGGATCTGGCTATGTCCCAAGAACGTGGACCACGAGGACTTCACCAAGTCGGCGGACCTCCTGCCGGCTGCGATGGCGCAAGCTGAAGCAGAGCCAGCGCTGTGGCTGCGAGGACTGCCGCCAGCCTCTCTCACGCACCCTAGGTTTAATGATGAACTGTTAGAGGGGAGGGAGGTTCGGTTTGGTGTGCTGGGGGACTGGGAGGAGTGTCGGTACGAAGGAGAGATCCACATTTTCGGCGACGGCTCAGGAGGGAAGCACTCCTCGGACCCTCGCCGACGCCGCTGTGGATCAGCGATTGTAGCATTGCAGGTGCGCGACGGGGAGTGGAGTGTGGGTCGTGCTGTTGCAGTCCCACTCCTCGGTCGCAGGCAAACGGTCCCCCGCTCTGAGATTTTAGCGTTCGCTTTGGCGCTCGAAGAGTGCCACGCTGATTTTATTTTCATTACTGATCACAGGACGATCGCGAAGACCTGGAAATACCGCATGGAGCACCCTAAAGCCACGGGTCCCAATGAGGACCTTTGGGCCCGAGCCAGAGTGGCCTGGCAGACCCACCCAGACAGAGTTGTAAAGGTAGAGTGGACGGCGTCCCATCTGGACGAGACGCCTGAGCTGCTTGAATCGCCGCGGCAGCTGTTCTTGGCAGCAGGGAATTTAGCAGCTGACGTCTGGGCGGGAGTCGGGGCGGAGCTGGCTTGGGAGTTCGGGCTGGTGGGGAGGGTTCCTGAGACTGACAAGATAGACGCGATCGCACACCTCGTGCGGAAGAGAGCGCGCAGAGCTTTGCTACTGGCCGCCGCGTCGGAGACGTCAGAGCGTGCTGGTAGAGCCCCAGTAAGTAAGAGACTTTTAAAGCAGGAGAGATTGATCCGAGATTCTCCCCACCAGCTAGAGCGTGTTGGAAGCAAATGGAGGTGCTCACAGTGCGACGTGATCGCGACTGGAGCCAGGTTTTTGCGTTTTTCGGTTTCTCCGTGTCCTGGGCCCCCTGGCAAAACCAGGTCGGTGGTCCCAGAGTTCCTGCCGATTAAAGGAGTGGACCTTGAGATCCACGAATCCCACACGATCACTAGGGTCGATCGCTGGTTCTTGCAGATCTGTTCGGTCTGCGGCATGTATGCGACTGTGGACTCGAGGTCCTTGCGTCTGAAGTGTCGAGGTCTCACACCGAACGGTGCCGAGAATATTCGTCGAATTGAAGTAGGTCTTTTCCCTCGGCGTGAGGGCCCCCCCAGAGCCATCAAGATGGCCATTGCTCGCAGAGATGAGGGTCGTGTCGTGTCGGCCCACGAGGCCAGGGGTTCGCAGGAGAACAGCGAGCGTGGGGGGGGCCCCACCGAGCCTCCCGCGGCGACCCGCGCCCGCAACGACGGGCACGAGCGGAAGCAGCCGAGCAGTGCAGCCAACGAGTCGCGCTTCCAGGCAAACGTTCAGAGATTGCTGGCTGCTGCGAGAGGCACGGCTGCGCATGTGCGGGCGCCGCGGGAGGATTCAGAGTCTTCCGATTGACGGCAGATGCCCGTAACTGCTCCTCCTCCTCCTCCTCCTCCTC